TATCTCCACAGGCGGACACATTAACTACAGACAATCTGTATGATCATTTCAAGACTCTGTTTGGTGAAAGTCATTTAAATAATAACGATCAACCAGATTTCTCGCAAAATATATTATGTCATGATTTGGACAAGGACTTTTCCGAAAGTGAAATTCGGTCAGCTGTTTTCTCTCAAAATAATAATAAAACCCCGGGAATTGATAACTTGCCCGGTGAGGTTTTTAAGGCGTCATATGAATATATTTCACCGTTTTTACTTGCACTTTACAACAGAATTTATAGTAGTGGTGAGTACCCTACATCTTGGGGTGATGGAATAATAACACCCATTTTTAAAAAAGGTGATGCTAACGATGCATCAAATTATCGTGCTATAAATTTGATAAATATTGTAGCTAAAATCTATTCACAGTTATTACTTAATCGTATAACAGACTGGAGCAAAAAGTATGATAAATTAGTACCAAATCAATTTGGGTTTCAAAAACAGAAATCTATAACTGATTGTATGTTTATTCTTCAATCTGTCATATCAAAGACGCTTAACGCTGGTCAAAAATTGTACACTATATTTATCGATTATGAGAAGGCTTTCGATAAAATTGATAGGTCCTATCTAATGCACAAACTTTTGGCTGAAAATGTTAGTTGTAAAATGGTTAAAGCAATTAAAGCGATGTACACCGTAGTGAGATCATGTGTAAGGTATAACTTTCAACTTTCGGGCTTTTTCGACTCGAACATAGGTCTGAAACAAGGTGACCCGAGTTCGCCTCTTTTGTTCATGCTCTTCGTAAACGATGTAGTCGAAAATATAAATGCAAATCTTGAAGGAATTTTTACTGTAAATGAACTTAAATTATTTATACTACTGTATGCTGATGACCAGGCCATTTTTGCGACGTCGCCGGAAACAATTCAATCCATTTTAAACGATATAGAAAATTATTGCGCAACGTGGGGGTTAAAAATAAACACATCTAAAACAAAGGCTATGATATTTGAAAAGGGGAGACATACTACTTATAATTTTTATGTAAATAATGAAGTTATAGAAATAGTTAATTCTTTTAAATATCTTGGCTTAACTTTTTTTAAAAATGGAAATTGGTATCGATCACAGAAAAATATTGCGCAGCATGCTGGCTATGCGCTACACAATCTTTTTTACAATATTAAATAACGTAGAACTGCCAATATATCAGAAATGTAAGCTATTTGATTCATTGGTATCGCCCATCTTAAATTTTGGATCGGAAATATGGGGTATGCACCCTGCTAACGATATTGAGCATGTTCACACGAAATTCCTGCGCCGTATGTTAAGTGTAAAAAAAATCTACAAACTTAAATGCACTCTATGGAGAATTAGCTAGAATACCTATGTCCGTAATTCGTAAGATTAATATGATTAAATACTGCGTGAAAATATTAAATCAAGATGAGTCGTCACTTCAGAAAAAGGTTTACATTATGTTGAAAACTGATTGCGAGCTAGGTAATGTTAACGACGGTAACTGGGCGTTTCAAATAAAGAGTATTTTGCAAGAACACGGGTTTCTCTATGTGTGGTTGCAACAATCCGATATGTACACACAAATACCCTTTTTGGAGATTAAACAACGAATAATTGATAATTTTCTCCAAAGATGGTATTCAGAGGTGGTTAATTCTAGACGTTTAGAAACATATAGTTTATTTAAACACGCTTTCGAAAGAGAACGGTATTTGGAAGTTATAACTGACCAAAGGTTTAAGAACGCTTTAGCCCGCTTCAGAACCTCTTCTCATAGACTTAATATAGAAATCGGAAGATATAACAATGTGCCGCGAGATCAAAGGGTATGTTTATCATGCAACATGAATATATTAGAGAATGAATACCATTTTCTGTTAGTTTGCCCCAAATATAGAGAACTAAGGCGTAAATATTTGAAGAACTATTATTGTCACTGGCCTACGTTAACGAAATTTAAAAATCTTATGTCTTCTACATCAAACGCAACTATTATAAGTTTATCGAAATTTATATATTTTGCAACAAAATTACGTGTCTCCTATCATCAATCATAACTTTATGTATATGAAATGCTTTTTTTATAGGTAAACAGAGATATACATCAATACACATCATTATACTGTATAGTTTAAATTTAACACAGTGTCGCCGTATAGTATTGTATTTGTTTATGTTATCACATAAAATCGTACTTCGTAAAATGTTTAGAAAAAATATTATGTATTTGTCTTTACAGTACTCTTCTGTAAATGATATAACATGCATGTCTTTCTATTGTCACTGAACTGGTTATATTTTGTATGGCTATAAACTTGCTATTTGTTTTATGCCAATAAAATTATTTGAGTTGAGTTTTTGAGTTGATTGTGATGTATTTGATGTACATATGATGAGACGAGAATAAGCTATTTGAGTTGAATAGGTTTTTGGACAGTGATACCATTTCTGGTGTCATTTTGACAATGCCGTAAGTTAACTTGTTATAATACCATTTCGTTAGTTATTTGGTTGTGATATCATCTTTAGGATATTTAGTTATTTTACCACTTTTTCCCCATTTCTTTCTTTTGTTTATGGTTCTTGTAATATTTCATAGGTTCTTTGGTTGTGATACTTATTAGTAATTTGATTGTGATACCATTAGTTTGTTATTATACTATTTCTATTCTTACAATCTTTGGTTATTTTACCATTTACCTCCATTTTTTCTTTAAAAATTTGTTATGGTTGTTTCAGTATTTCCTATATTCTTTGGTTGTGATACTTATTAGTTATGTGATTGTGGTATCACTTTTTACAGGTTAATTGCATATTATATCACTTCTTTTCTTATTTGGTTGTGCACGGTATCATTTCTAAAGTTATTTGACTGTGGCTCATTTATTGCGGCTTTGGTACTATTTTCGAGGCTTTTAGGTTATGATACCATTCTTTAGGATCTTTAATTATTATATCATTTGTTAGGTATATTTTAACACTAAATATTTGACTCATGAATGAATCATAAATAACACGTAAGCAAACGTCATTATTGCTTTTTCTAACCTGTTAGAAAGGTTATGAAACGTAAGTTAATTTAATTTCCTTAATAATAATAATAATAATAATAATAATAATAATAATAATAATAATAATAATAATAAAGACTTTATTTAACGAGAGAACTCATTTGAACAACATATCAATCTTCCATGAAGCCCTCAACAAGGAACAATATAAATTTAACATATTCAAACTATTAAAATACATAAATTTAAAAACATACAGGAGATTATCAATTTGTATACATCAATGTGTGATAAAACCTCAAGTATAACGTTTTAAAATGGTTTACAGATGTAGCATACTTAATATAATAAGGAAGGCCGTTCCAAATACAAGATCCAGAATAAACAAAAGACTTACGAAATTGTTCAGTATTTGGTCTAGGGGTATAAAGTTGAAAATCAGATGATGAACGCAAAATGCGAGTATGAACATCTGACGATAAAATGAAATTATTCAATAAATAGGAAGGCGCCTGATTATTCATTATTTTAAACATCATAATAGCTTTTTGAAAAACAACCCTCTGTGAAAAGGTCATCCAGCGGAGTTCAGAAAAAAGTTCAGCAGATGGACAGGAGTGTCATAATCTTTGTCTAGAATTAGTCTTGCAGCTCTCTTTTGGAACTTAATGAGTTTATCTTCTAGAAAAGACGTACATTTACCGTAAATTATGCAACAATAATCAAGATGTGGTAAAATATATGCATTGTAAAACATTTTACGTACAGGATAGATATGAATAATTTTATACGTGATAATAAATGTAACAATGAGTTACACTTTTTAAGAACATTATCAATATGGCTTTGCCAAGACAAGGTGTTATTAATTGTAATACCCAATAATTTTTCTTCAGAGCTACAAAAAATTTGCTCAGTTTTATATAAAATACAAGGATTACTTCCATGAATATAATTTTGCTTGTGTTTTGAGGAAATATACATGACCTTAGTTTTGTTAACATTGATAGACATGCGATTCAAATCACACCATTTGTTGGCATTTAAAAGATCATGAGTAAGAGATTCAACTACTCTGTTTAGGGATACATCAGAGGTTGAAAGGGTGGTGTCATCAGCAAAAATATCAGTTTCTGTTTTTTCCATAGACAAAGGCAGATCATTGATATAGATTAAAAACAGTATAGGACCTAGCACTGAGCCCTGAGGAACTCCAGTAGTTACTGAACTTGACTATTGAATATTAACCGGATATGTAAGTTATTCATGTTATATGATACTGTAATAATATCATGTTCTGCTCCTCGTATGTCAAAAATAGCAAACTTTGTATAAATTGATTTGAAAACTTTACAAATAATAATGTTGTATGAAAATGATATGTTCGTTTATGATTTCAGTAGGAGAAGCAGTGGCCAATTGATTACTGTGTATGTCGCTCAACCAAAAGAATATGTGTTCGAATCCTACCCAGATCCCGACCAGTACTTGATACACCCAGTAAGCTTACAGGAAAGTGATTAATATAAGTTGCTATCATTTGTTTCAAAATCAAGCTTAAATTAACATGTAGAAAACAATCAGGCACTATCTTAACCGTGTCCTTAGGGTGTATTTTTGATATTTGGAGTTAATACAATACTGTCAATCATTTCAGGTAAGTAGTAGTATGTAAAATATAGAATATTTACCATTTGTCAGCATGGTCGATTGTTTAACGCATCGGACTGGTATCTACGGATTGCTAGTCGCATGAGTTCAAATCCCGCCAGGGAGAAACAGTTGTTTACTTGAGCATGAACGGTTTAGAAGGAAAATCTAGAATTGTATTTGAAAAATTTTTTTGTTTGATTTAAAGAATTTTTAATACTGAGATAGAAAAGCTTGTGTTATGTTATTAGATGTAAGGTTGAATTACAAACGTGTCCACAGTAGTTTTAACACCTACTTTAAGGAGCCATAAAAGAAAAAAAATATAACAAATCATACTGTTCAATGGCAAAGTGTATTATCACAATTAATATAAATAACTAGAAAGATAACAACAATTGTATTCGTGGTCCAGTGTCCATTCTGGGTCGTTAAACGATTCTTTATCCACAATAGTTCTGAAATAAAAGAAAAAAAATATGACATTACTTTAAATGTGATAAGAAATAGTTACAATTATAGTATTTTTATTTCAATTTATTTCAATTTATATGTACTATTTACTAAATAATCTTCAAATATTTGTCAAGTAAATCTACTTCAGTTTTAGAAACCTCCAAACTGTTATAAGGAAAAAAACTAACCATGCTCAATAGCCTCCTTTTCTTCCCTTTCCCCATCCTCCCATATTTCCACCCCATCCGCCTTTGCCGTATCCTCCCATATTTCCTCCCCATCTGCCTTTGCCATATCCACCGTAGTTGCCTCCCCATCCACCGTTGCCATATCCGCCATATCCGCCCATGTAACCACCCCATCCGCTTTTTCCGTAACCGCCTACGTTGCCACCATATTTACCATATCCACCTACGTTACCGCCCCATCTACCGTTGCCATATCCGCCATATCCGCCCATGTAACCACCCCGTCCGCCTTTTCCGTAACCGCCTACGTTGCCACCATATTTACCATATCCACCAATCATACCTCCATATCCGCCTTTGCCTTTGCCATAGCCGCCCATATTGCCTCCCCCTCTGCCTTTAACATATCCACCTACGTTACCGCCCCATCCACCGTTGCCATATCCGCCATATCCGCCCATGTAACCACCCCATCCGCTTTTTCCGTAACCGCCTACGTTGCCACCATATTTACCATATCCACCTACGTTACCGCCCCATCTACCGTTGCCATATCCGCCATATCCGCCCATGTAACCACCCCGTCCGCCTTTTCCGTAACCGCCTACGTTGCCACCATATTTACCATATCCACCAATCATACCTCCATATCCGCCTTTGCCTTTGCCATAGCCGCCCATATTGCCTCCCCATCTGCCTTTACCATATCCACCTACGTTACCGCCCCATCCACCGTTGCCATATCCGCCATATCCGCCCATGTAACCACCCCATCCGCCTTTTCCGTAACCGCCTACGTTGCCACCATATTTACCATATCCACCTACGTTACCGCCCCATCTACCGTTGCCATATCCGCCATATCCGCCCATGTAACCACCCCGTCCGCCTTTTCCGTAACCGCCTACGTTGCCACCATATTTACCATATCCACCATAGTTTCCTCCCCACATGTTTCCTCCCTTTCCGTATCCACCATAACCACCAACATTTCCACCCCATCCGCCATAGCCACCGTAGCCACCATACCCTCCGCCAAAATTTCCTCCCCAGTAACCACCTTTACCACCTTTGCCATAACCATATCCACCTGCTCTACCTCCAAAACCTCCGACGAAACCGCCTATATTACCACCTTTACCATATGACTTTTTGTAGTACGCTTCAGTAGCGGCAAAGCTAACTGCTAAGAGGACTAGGATCTTCATCATCGTCTTAAAATATCACAAAATGTAAAAAATGTTATTGTCATAGATAATTAGATTTGGAAATCAAGTAAAAATGATTATACATGAATTTGCCAGTGTAAAATTCGCGTTTGAAATGCTGGTTTTTATTAACAAAAGTTGTGTTCATTCCATCTATACATTATATTTATATCATCTATACATAGACACAGTATTTTAATTTTATTTAAAGAAAGCAGTATTTCAAAATTGATAATAGACTTCTGACAGGTTGTATGGTTGCAAATGTTTGCTATACAAATAAACGCCAAAACAGCTTTGGTTAAATTAGCTTAAAGTCGGTACCTCATTAAAGGTATGTGTTAAGGGATCAGGAAACATGGATAAACAGAAATGTTTCTAGTATTTGTGTCATATATTTAATACTTGTACTTTAAAAAGATCAGAAAACCCAAGTTCATTTCAAGCCTATTTGACTGTTCAAGAATTTGTTTATTTCTTTCCCGCTAAATATCTTAAATGGACTTGTCTGCGTTTCATTTAGGACAAAATCATTCTTCAGCTTATGTAATACTATTTGAATAATAATAGCAGTGCAGACGAAGACCAAATGGCGCGTATGTGCCGGCAGCTTTGCATTGGTCACATGAGTAGATTTTGAAGCTGCCAGCAGGATAGGGGAAAACTTTTTTTCATTTCTTTTCCGAAATTACTAAAATGTCCATACTTTTAAGAAGAAACAACAACATTTTATGAATTTAAGAGTTTGGTGTACCGGAGCATCAGCTCTTCAAGAATGTAGCAATTGTGTAAGTGTAAAAATTATATCTTAGTCAGATTGGTAAACTAACCGTTATAATCAATTTTAACATTTAAAAAGTATTTCAAGTTATTCATATATATACGCTGTTTCAAATAAATATTTATGTTATAATTCTAAAGATCCTAAAGTAAATATACAAGTTGTGAATATTTTTATTTTTAATTTTTAATGTAAAGTCTCATAGTATACTTACATTTTTGACATGTGTAAATTCATGATGTAAAATTTTTAAAAAAAGTTTGGACAAAAAGAAGAGAAAAAAAAAAGAATCCAAAGAAAAAAAAGAAAAAATATATATATTAAAGGGAAAAAGCACTCTTACCTTTATGCGGCGGGAAGTCCTAAACGCTCAACTTGCAGTTGGGAGGAAGTTGGCAGCTTTTATATGGTCAGATCATAGGGCTTCGGCCAGTGACCATGAGGTGACTTCTATATACTTGGACAGGTATATGGTCATTTTATGACATCGAAATGATTGCTAGGCGGGAAAACTATTGTTCAATTGTTATATTTATTACACTTATAAACAAAATATATCATTAATGTCATTTACGTCCATGAGTTTAATTGTATTTATTTATATATAACTGTACATGTACATACATTAATGAAAACTATAGTACTATTATAAATCTTTACTACGAGATATGGCCATCACCGTAAGTGTGTGCCAATAATGAAATGATGATATTGCACAAATAACAAGCAAAAAGAGATGTATACATTCCTTTCAAGTTATAAATTCAACAGTAAAGATGAGACTTATAAGGTGTTTTAATTTGGTAAATGTGTGAAGAAATCAGAGAAGTGATATGTATAAAATTTATCTAGAATTGATGCTTGTGTGATGTATTACTCTTCCTATCTAAATCAAATTTTTAAAAATGTAAGTTCTTAAGTCGTAATCTGTCTGTGACACTACAAGCACTCGGACCAATTGAAAAGTTAATGTTTCATTATAAAGAATTATTTTATAATTACTTATTGAAATAGCATGTCTCAACACCTAACAAATAAAATAAGACAGCTTCAAGCAGTTGCTAAAATTGTTTATATCTTTTGTTAAGTAAATAATTAATAATTATTTTATCATAGTGACATGTGTACGGCAGATAACATATAACGGATATAAATAATTTATACATGTATATACATTAATAATAGTTCACATGAAGTTATTATTATACTATACACTATCATCAATATTTTAGTATAAATACAATAAAAAACAATGTGCATATCTATATTGACTTGAATTTACATTAAAAAATGTTAAGATGTTCGGGAAAAACTTTAGTCTTTTGTTATGAACAAAAATATTTTAACGATTACACAAAGAGTGGATAAAGTTATAACTGCGTTTTTTTAAACAGATTGTTGCTATATATTTATGAAATGTACATGTCTTTACTCCTTTGTGTTCAAACGATCACGCTTTTGCATTTCTTTTGTTTTTACTTTTTGCATACTTTTCATCAGTTTATTTTCGACTAAGTTGCAAAATACATACCAGACATATTCAGAAAATATTTTATAAACGTTTTCTGAGAACATGTAAGAGGTTAAATGAAGCAACAGAGTATTATAATCACTAAATTTATCAAAATGGCATAGTATTAATCAACAATAGAACAGTAAATATGGTGTCACTAATATGTTCGTGTATTATACCCCAGTAAAGCTAATAGAGCTTTGTTAAAGATCAGTTAGGCAAACAGTGCAGTGTGCATAATTCATTATCAATACATGTACTGAAAATGTCTTATTGCTACTTAAAACTACTACATCATCTCAAACGGCTATAAACTTAGGTAAATAGTGCAACAACAATAGTTACCAAATAGAGACATTACAATTGTCAAATAATGTTGAAGGACAATATTTTGAAGTATGTCGTAAAAAGCACAAATTACAAGCGAATATTATTGAATTTTATATTAGTTTTATGTGTTTAGCAGTTGTTACCTTGTTAATGGGCGTTAAAAGGTGTTTGTTTCATTTTGCGGGTGGCCTCTTTTATTACCAAATGTATTTATCTTATGATACGCGTTTTTTATTGTTAAAAAATCTCGCAATAAGACGCATATCAAAAGTACCGTCTGTGTTTTTGTCCCGATGTCACATAATCCTTCATATAACAGAAATGTATTAATACATCAGAAATAGTAGATTAGTAGAACAATATGATTGTGATTTATTACCAAACTCACCATCTGAAAAATTAAATAAGGTTAACTGGGAAGCAAAGGTTATCAATCTTGCGTTCATCACGCAGCTGTCAATCAGTGGACATGCAGTGACCGCAAAACATTGACAGCAATAGTTGCTTCGTCATCACGCTCAATGATCGTTATTTCTCGTTTTGTTATATGTATAGTAAAAAAAGTCCTATATGAGCGGAAAAAAACAACCTTTGAAATTATGTCTATATTTTATTTCATTGGCAGGCTGAATAATTGGGTACTTTTAATAGAATCATGTGAGATCAAAACCAAGAGATGTAACTGGTATCTCAAAATGTTCAAGACAGCCTTAATATAAGTCATGTAAGTAATGAAACACTTTGAGACGCTTTTGGTGAAAAAAAAGACTAAATTGAGATATTTTCTATATTTCACTATCTAAACAAAACATTATTATGCGTTTTCAAAGATGGGTGAAATAAAACATTTATTTAAACTTTTATAGCTTTGATCAAGCGGTTTTAACATTATTTTTTTCAAAACTAAATTGAATGTCTTTTGGTCCCATACAAATGTATTATTTATCATGTTATGAATCAATGTTACTTTTTAATATAATTTAATCAAATTGAGGCTTCATATACCTCTCGCTTATACCTTTGAGGGTAAGTTTGGTGCAAATCGCATTACTGTCTGATTTCTGATAGGGCTGTTTTTGGCTCATAATTATAGATAATAAAATGGCTCACAAGGCCCCACTCCTTGGTGTTTTAACCTATCATCCTATATACTGGTCAGCTTATCACCAGTTTAAGCCATTCTGTTTCTATTATACACAGCGTATCTGGCTTTATATTGGAGATACGCAAGTGTATATCTTGGATCTTTTTTTTTAAAAGAGTAACAATTAATATTGATGACTGTACAGTTAATTGTATTGCCTTACTAGACTTGTGTTAACTAACTATACTAACTCTTATCATCCTACGAGTATATAAACATAAATTAAAACGGTGAATTCAAAATAATATTCAAAAAATACCATTCTTAATGTTTATCTACTATGCAAATTGAAGTTACTGAGATCCATAGGAACGCCTAGTTATAACTTACCGTATTTTACTGGAGTCAGTAAACATCAAATCTTTATATCAGCCTGCAAAAATTCGTACACTTATGCGGAAATCACTTAGATGCGAAAACAAGAAAATAAGATACATTTAAACTTTTGTAAGAAAAAGTTGTACAAGTATATAAAATGAAATTACTCTAGACATAAAAGAAAAGATTCGTTTGTGTGCCACTCCATTTGAACAAAAATACCAAATCAATTTTTGGATGAAAACTTTGTTATTTCTTAAATTGGCATGTTTTGCACCTCCTGAACACTTTAAAAACACAAAACAATGAAGTTACTACAGTGTTCCCAGCAACCGTCGATATGTACTAATCCGAAGTTCATTATCAACTCAATTTATTTAATTTATATTATTGAATTATACTTAAACCGGCAGGAGGGAGTTGTAATATGCTGTCTATGAATAGTTTAAAAGAAAAAAATCTATAACATTTTTATTTGGCAGTGATATCTCTAACTATGTATTTGATCATCTGCAATCCATGTCAAGTCAACTTTATAACTATGACATTTATAGCAATACGAGCACGATATCTCGTCACAGGATATTTGAAGAGCGTTTTACAACTGCCAATATAACCATTTGTATCTCGTTTTTTTCTATGACCTACAAATGGACAAAAATGGTTGGTTGGTTCCAGGAACGGATTCGATAGTGTTTCAATAAGCTTAGAGCTTCCAACACAATCGAACCAAAATAAATTTGTATAAACTAACAAAAATGGTGATTTATTTCCAGCTCCTGTTTGTTGTTTTTAAGATAGTATGTTGGCTTTGTTTTACGTTTCGAATAAGTCATTATTTTCATTCATCATATATCTCTTATATTAATGTGATATAACGGAAAATGTACTACAGTACATAAATCTAAGGACTTCTGAATATACGTGTTTTAACTGAAAACGCGCATAACGCTATTATAGTCTTGTAATGAAGCTAATCTATACATTAATGAAGCAAATTCATAACTTTCGGGGCAATGGAAAAATGTATATTTAATATGAAACATAACATAGTATATTAACATTTTAAAATTTATATCCTAATGTAATAAAACCAATGTTATTCATATATTATTTTAATTTTTTTACATAGTTTACAATGTCAAAAACATAAATGTACATGTAACCTTATAAAAGGCGTTGTATTACTTTACTTACTTCTTTACAATTTCGTCCTTTGATGAAGTGAAGAAAAAATCTGAAAAGTTTGTTCAGAAAAACTTAGTGTCGAATTGAAGGTTCCATGATAACTGCCGTAGATGATCTAAATTCAAAATTTCACCATTTTCGTGTTTAAATGTTATATTCTGGTTAAGCCGGTGCTAGGTGGCGTGGACAGTAACTTGCATTTCCAGTACCGTCTATGAACAGGCTCAATCCAACCGAGCAACATTTCAATTTTGACGTTTTGAGCGTTCTTTAGAGATTCTGTTTATCGTTTTTTTACCAAATATAGTAAATATATCATAAGTTAATATACTTAAAGCAACATATGAAAATAGACAGGAAATTCACATTAGAACTTTGAACTAAGGTTGCTCATATTGGAGATATTGAGCATTATCTTTTTCCATATTTAACTGAAAGGCTTAAGCATGAAGAAATAGTCCTGATATACAAATTCTTAATGTGCAATAACACTTAAATAAAAGCTCATATCAACCATTAATTTTGTAACCTTGTTGCATTGAGACTTGAGCAAAGCTGATATATATTCTAGAACCCCATTAATAAAATTACCATTGTTTTGAGATCGTGAAGAATTAACGGACCCGCTCAACATCTTTATGAAGTGGATGATCTGTAATATGAGAAGTGGCTATTTCTATATCACAAGACAATGAAATTTGAAAATAATACAATTCTTCGACTGGTATGTATATTTAAGGAAGTAAAAATAAGATAAAAAAAGCAATAGACAAATGCTCAAATAGTAAGGGGTGAATAGACTGATATGACGATAGCCAAAGTGTCGCTTGTAAACAATGTGATCCATTTTGCAAGGGTAATGGGGTTGCTGAGTAAAAGTGCGTAAACAAGTTTTACCAAAACAAATACTTTTCAGAGATAGCCCATGATGTAGGGGCCACTCTGTATTTAAACCT